GCAAATTCATAATCATAAGATTATAATTCTGGGCAATTTAGAGTTTATACTGACCAGTAGGTGCTGGCTAAACTGGGGCTATGTGCAGTGCTGTGGTGCTATTTACAGTAATGGGTGCTGGACTGGTGCAGGGCAGACTGTGCTAGGTTAGCGCCCGAGTAAAAGCACAGATATCATCAGAGAGAAACACGTAATTGAACTGTGAGTTCATGAGAGTGTTGAAAGTATGGCCTCCTGGTGAAAATCTTGTAAAACCTTACTTGTGTGCATAGTCAGGTGATTTAAAAAAAAATCTGATTTAACTTAATATTATGTACTTGAATTGTTTTGTTTTTTTGAATTGAAATTAATTGAAATAACACTCAAAAAATGGAGTGCTCATTTGCATTTCAATGCAGCTGCTGTATAATAGGGTTTGGTTCTCAAAGGAGATATCACTTTGGATTTGAGCTGATCAACACTTGCAAATTCCGCATTTATACTGGCTAGAGGCTGGAAGCAGACAAGGCTCCTGTAACGTGGGCCTTTATATTGTAGAATACAGTTGGTTAAATTCACAAAGGGAAAAAACTAAACAAAAAAATCCAAACCTGCAATAGGACAGGTCAGCTGATCCCAGGCTGTACACAAAGAAAGCCTTCTGAAGCTCAGAGTAGACATTATTATGTAAGATATTTGTAGTTTCCCCTTAACCTGCCAAATCTCACTGCAACCCCCGAGCATATGTCTTTTTTTAAACTTCAAATCTACTTCTAAAATGTTCAGAAATGTGTCTAATCTGTTACCAGGAACATCTGAAGTTTGTGAATACAGGCTGAAATGTTGGCATCAACAGACACCATGAAAACCAGTTAAGCTGGAACACTGGGCAGCGAGAAAGAAACTTACACAACAATGTCAACATTCACAACAGGCTAGCTGCTAAGCTCGCTAAAACACAGACAAACCTGGACTTTCCGACGCCACTTTCACCAATTATCAACAGCTTCAGAGTCGTCAACACATCGTCGTCCATATTTGTCTTGGAGTTAGTTTACCTTTGACTCTGAATTAACTAAAAACGATTTTACAGATATTTTTTACTGTGTTTTAGGATAGCAGGCGGCTATCAGTTCCGATGATAGCCTACTGCTCACGCAACTTCCGGCCAAAGTGCGACGCGCGACGTCACCGGTGTTCGCGAGATTTGAAAATGAAACACAAAAAAATATTATTATTATGTTGATACTAAATTATTTACTTTTTAAGTATGAAGATTTTCTAACAATTATTTAAAGTGGCAAAGAACTTGTATAAAATATATTAGCTCTCCTGATAAAGGTTCTAATTTCCTTGTATTATGCTATGAAAATGTTGCAGCAGTTTATTGAAATATGCAAGCATACATGGAAATACAGAATATATA